TCTCTCTCTCTCTCCATCTCTCTTCTCTCTCTCTCTCTCTCTCCTTCGCTCTCTGTCTGTCTGTCTCTCTCTCCCTCTCTTTCTCTCTTTCTCTCTCTTCCTTTCACATTCTGTGTCCTTGCGACCTTCTGCAGTCCCCGACGTCGCCACGGCTGGATCCGCTCGAGCGTGTCTTGTGATGTGCGGCGGTGCGAAGCCCGTCCCACTGATCAAGGCACAGGTACGAAATGATGGGTCCATCATTTCTTGCCTTCCCATGTGCGTTTTCCCAATCGATTCCTGGGCCCGAGGTCGCAAAAATTACGACGTCGGAGGTCTGGGGAGGCGGGAAGCACGACCTGGACCTCCGACGTCTTGGAAAAATCACGACGGCGGTTTTTGTTAATTTTCGGCCTCCGGGGCCCCTCGCAGGTTCCCGGGACCGTCAGAAAACGACTCAGGATGAAAACGACTTGGGCTACAGGGCTATTGGGCTACAGGGCTATAGGGCTGTAGGGCTATAGGGCTATAGGGCTAGGGCCATAGGGCTATAGGGCTATGTGGGCTATTCGGCTATTGGGCTATAGGGTTGTTGGGCTGTAGAGCTATGGGGCTATAGGGCTACAGGGCTATAGGATCAGAGGGCTATAGAGCTAAAGGGCTAGATGGATATAGGGATATAGGGCTATTGGGCTATAGTCCTATAGGGCTATACGGCTATAGGGCAATAGGGCTACAGGGCTATAGGGCGATAGGGCACCCCCAGGCACCCCGGCACCCGGGCACCGGGCACCCAGGCACCCAGGCACCGGGCACCCGGGCACCCAGGCACCCGGGCACCCGGCCCGGCCGCATGGGGCCGGAATCTTGCCGAACCTCATCGAACCTTTTAATCCGCCAGGACCCTTACAGAGGCAAGCTCTGATTGGGTACTAACCCATGGCAACCGCCGCTACCTTCGTCGCCGCGATCGCCGCCGTCTTCATCGCCGCCGTCGTCGACGTCCTCGGGTTCTGTTCGGGCACCCTCTGGCCATCTCGTGGGGCACGCTGGGGGATTATCAGAGGCATCCGTACGTATCCTGAGGGGCCCCGCGACTTCCCCCAGAGACTCTAACTACAGAAACTCCTTTCGTATTCCGGCCAGAAGCATCCAGAAACGATGTACATTAGCCCTGGCGGGGGGAATGATGGCGATGGTGATGTTCAT